CAACGTCGCGCACTTGATGCGCTGGCTCGACCAGGAGACTGCGGCCCCTCCGTAGACGAACACGTATCCGCCCGTGCTCGTCCTGTTTTGCTTGTTACCGGCATCGTCGGCGTCCACGTAGCCGACTAGCTCCAGCGACTCAGGTCCACCGCCGAACTCCAGGGCGGTGTCACGCGTGTTGGCGAGGTAGGCGAGGCAGCGGTCGACCTCGCGCCAGTGCTGGTCGCTCCTCACCGTGAGGCCGCTCCCCAGCTTGCTGCAGGCAAAGGCGATGTCCGGCCTCGTCGTCGTCGCCGCGAACTGCAGCGAGCCGACCTTCTGCCGGTACTCCTCCTCCTGTCGCTCCTGTGCCTCCTCGTCATCGAAGGTGAGCTCAGCGTAGGCGTCGACCGAGATCGGCGTCTTCGGGGTGCGCCCGGTCTTCTCCTCGTCGATGAAGCGCCTACGCAGTTTGTCGGCATAGCCCTGCTGGTGCAGCCACAGCTTCCCCGCCGACCTGTCGCGGACGATCTCCAGCCCAAGGTACTTCTGCACCGGCGAGATCTCACGCAGCTTGAAGGCGGACTCTAGCAGCTCCTTCAGCTCCTTCAGCATCTCGGTGCTGCTGCTGGCGGCGAGCAGGTCGTCGACATAGACCAACACCCAGCAGGCCACTCCGTCGTTGCCGACCTTGAAGTAGAGAGCCTCGTCGACCTGGCTCTTCCTCCACCCGGCGTCGACCAGCACGTCGTTGAGCGCCAAGTACCATAGCAGCGGCGACTGCTTCAGCCCGTACAGGCTCTTCAGCAGCTTGCACACCCGGCCAGTTCCATCGTTGAAGTAGTCCGGCTGGGACATGTAGAGCACCCGGTCGAGCTTGCTCTGCAGAAAGGCGTTCTTCATGTCGAGCTGCATCAGGTTGAGGTTGAGGATGGCGACGATGCTGAGGAAGATCCTCAGCGTGACGTAGCTACCCACCGGCGCAAACGTCTCGTCGTAGTCGGCACCATACACCTGGGTGAAGCCCTTCACGACCAGCCTCGCCTTCTCGCGCTCGACGGTGTCGTCGACGTGGTACTTCGTCGTCAACACCCACCGGTTCTTCATGATGTTCACTCCCGGCGGGCGTTCGACCAGCTCCCAAGTGCCCATGTTGATGAGGCTGCGGATCTCCTCCTCCATGGCGGCCTTCACCGCCGGGCCCTTCCAGCTCGCCAACGCCTCCCTCACCGTCATTGTCGAGATGTCCCAACGGTGCTCGGGGTCGGCATGCATGTCAGGGTCGAGCTCCGGAAACTCCTCATCCTCCTCGGCGTCGTCATACGCCAGGTCGTCGTCGTCCACGTCGTACACCGTGGTGAAGGCAGCGGGGACGAAGAAGTCGGGCGGCCTCCGAAGTCGGCCTGACTTCCGGGGTTCAGGCCGAACCTCCACCACATCGCTGTCGGTGGACTTCTCCCCTTCACCACCGGCTTCGCCGCCCTCGTCGTCCTGCTGCACCTCGGTCGACTTCCTGGTCGACCTCTCCCTTGTAGTCGGCTCTTCTGCTGACTGCCTGGTTGCCGACTGCTCCATGGTCGGCGTCACCGCTGCCTGCTCCCCTGTCGGCTGCTACCCTACTGGTGTCTTCTTCGTCGGCTTCACCCAAGTCGGCTGCTCCTCCTCGACCTGCGCTCCCACGTCGACTTGCCGCTCGACACGTCGGCCACCGGCGATGCCCTTGGCCGGCGCCGAAGGCGACGTCCCACTACTCCCCTCATTGCCGGAGGCCGACATAGGAGTCAGCCCGTGTAGGTCGGCCACGAGGGGAGGGGCAGGGGTCGTAGGGGGAGGGGAAGGAGGACGGACGACCTCGACGTCCTCACCAGCAAGCTCACCGACCTCGGCGAGTAGAGGCAACGTCGCCGTCGAGAAGTCGGACGGCTGGGGAGTCGGCGTCCGACCTGACGCCGTCCCGTGCTCCGACTTCCACACCTCCAGCAACAGATCCTCGTAAAACACCACGTCCGACGTGGTGACCACCCGGTTGGCTGTCTCCTCGTCGCCTATACGCAGGTGCGTCAGTTGTCCCTCCAGCTGGGCGATGAACAAGTCGTCGGTGACTTGGTAGGTCGACTCGATGAAGTGCCACGCCTGGTGGCCGGCGTCGAGATACTCTCGGCACCACTTCAAGGTGATCTGCATGCCCGGCGAGCAGCACCGCGAGATGACCGTGAAAGTCAATAGCTGCACGGCGCGAAACTCCGTACGCAAGTCGGGGTCGTCCGGCGTCGCCACGGTGCCTCGAGCAAAGCTAATCAGCCCGGCCATCTCTAGCTGAGGCTCGATGGCCTCCTTCTAGGTGAGAATGTCTTGTCGACCAACGAGCGGCGGGGTGACCAAGATCCTGTCCGGCGTAAACTTGAAGTAGCCGTAGCTCGGTGCTATCCCCCCCGCCGTCACCTGGGTCGCCGACATCGGCGACAGTCCGATTCGTCGACCTCCGACGTCGCCCTGCGAGGTGCCTGCAGCCGCCGTCGACCGCATCCCTCGCGCCTGAACGCCGCCGACTTCATCGGCGTGTATCACACCTCTCTGCCTCGACGTGCCTCCCGCACTGCTGCCGACCTGGTCACCACCGACGTTGACGCCCATGTCGACGCCGCCCTCTGTGTTCACCGGTCGAGGAGACGCAGGTTGAGAAGGGTGCAACGTCGCCCACATGGTGCGAATGCCAGCCTCCACAACCGCCCAAGGAATCGTTCCATACTCCTGGGCCCCATGGCGTGTCCTCGCGTCCTCCAGCTGTGCTTCCAGGGTCTCCATTCCCTTGGCGTCACCTACTCGCACGCTAGTGACTGCACGGCTGCCGGCCTACGAACAACTTAGGTATGTGACCTCTACGTCGACCTGACTGAAAGGTAAGTCGCGTGCCGTCCACGCTCACCGCACCATGCGGAGCTAACTACTACAACGGGAGCTAGACTACAGGCTAGGCACGGGTGCTCATGTGATCTCTGCGTTCGTTGGTCCTTAGTCGTTTTCCTAGTGCAGACACTGCTTGCTAGTTCACGGGGCAAGTTGGCAAGAGTTTCACTAAGAAAGGTTGACAACAATGGTCCAACGAAGTTGGCATGGCAAGACTACATCAGAGCTAGCATTCAGGTCGGTCGACTGCCAGCGCAGCATGGTCGACCGCGTTCCAGCACGACTTGGTTGACCGCGCTCCAGCAGTGCAAGGTCGACGGCGTGCCAACGTCGCAGGTTGACGGCGTGCCAGCATTGCTCCCACAGAACAGCAGCGCACCCGCTTTGCAGGTGCTCGCAGAGGATTGGCGGGCTGAGCCTCGTCACCTGCACAACGCACACACCAAGTCATCCTCGTGCTGATGACTCCACCTGATCCGCCATGTCGACCTCGGGATACCACCGCCGAGGTCGGACTCGCCAACTTCGCCTGGGCGACCGTCGCACTCCTCCGCAGAATCTGTCACCCAGGTAACCTGGTCGACCCGGCAACCACGTCGACCAGGTGCTCCTGTATGTGCCCGTCGACCTCCCAAGTCGACGGCCACCTCCATTCGGCCTCACCAGGTCGACCACACCCCTGGTCGACCAGCTCCAGGTCGACGTCACTCCTGGTCGACCAGCTCCACGTCGACCAGCCCAGTCGTCAGCCGACCACCCAAGTCGGCTACCAGAAGTCGGCGTCACCAAGTCGGCGACCTTGCAAGTCGGCGACCTTGCAAGTCGGCGACCTTGCAAGTCGGCGACCTTGCAAGTCGGCGACCTTGCAAGTCGGCGACCTTGCAAGTCGGCGACCTTGCAAGTCAGTGACCTTGCAAGTCGGTGACCTTGAAAGTCGGTGACATTGCAGTGGCCCCGTGCAAGTCGACCAACCCCGTCGACCCGCTCGCCCAAGTCGGCGTCGCCCACTGCTGCAAGTCGGCTGTATCTCTCGTACACCCGACCACGTAGTCGGCTCCGCCCAAGCGAGGACGGGGCCAACAACAACTCCCGTTGACACACGTTCCCCATCAGGTTCCGCATCAGGTTCCGCATCAGGTTCCGCATCAGGTTCTCCATCAGGTTCCCCATCAGGTTCCCCATCAAGTTCCCCATCAGGTTCCCCATCAGGTTCGCCATCAGGTTCGCCATCAGGTTCCCCATCAGGTTCCCCATCAGGTTCCCCATCAGGTTCCCCATCAGGTTCCCCATCAGGTTCCCCATCAGGTTCCCCATCAGGTTCGACATCAGGTTCCCCATCAGGTTCGCCATCAGGTTCCCCATCAGGTTCCCCATCAGGTTCCCCATCAGGTTCCCCATCAGGTTCCCCATCAGGTACCCCATCAGGTTCCCCATCATCATCAGCATCAGCATCAGCGCATCAGCATCAGCATCAGCATCATCGCATCAGCATCAGCGCATCAGCATCAGTATCAGCGCATCAGCATCAGCGCATCAGCATTTGCATCAGCATCAGCATCAGCGCATCAGCATCAGCATCAGCATCAGCTTCAGCACATCAGCATCAGCGCATCAGCATCAGCACATCAGCATTTGCATCAGCATCAGCATCAGCGCATCAGCATCAGCATCAGCATCAGCATCAGCAGCAGCAGTAGCAGCGCATCAGCATCAGCATCAGCAGCAGCAGTAGCAGCGCATCAGCATCAGCATCAGCATCAGCTTCAGCTTCAGCGCATCAGCATCAGCGCATCAGCATCAGCGCATCAGCATCAGCGCATCAGCATCAGCATCAGAATCAGCATTAGCATCAGCATCAGCGCATAAGCATCAGCATCAGCATCAGCATCAGCGCATCAGCATCAGCATCAGCATCAGCGCATCAGCATCAGCATCAGCTTCAGTGCATCAGCATCAGCATCAGCATCTGCTTCGGCATCAGGATCAGCGCATCAGCATCAGCACCTATCCCCATGGAAGCCCATTTGCATGCACCCACTCCTACCCACCTACCCACCCACTCTCACGCTCCCATTCCCACCGGCTTCCACCCACCCATTTGCACCCACCCTCTATCACCCACCCCTCCATCCCACACCAGGAGGCAAAAGCAGAGAGAAGCAAGCGGCGGGCAGCAGAGCAGCAGGTGGGGGCAGCAGTGGAGAGGGCAGCAGGGCGGCAGGCGCAGGAGGCGATGCTGGTGGACGAGCTCGTCTCACAAGCTGGTGGACGAGGTGCGGGGCTCACAACAGGACCCACAACTCCCACCTGCGCCACAACCTCGCCATCCTGCACACCTCCACCACCGTCAACAAGAAAACACTCTTTCTAAAGAAGTAGCCGCAGCAGCAGGCTTATGAGACGGTGTGAAGTGGCACAAGCCTTGCTGTCCTGCACGCCTTGTCCATTATGGTTAGGAAGGAGTTGATTTTCCCTAGGCAGGAAAAGGCTAGCATGGCAGTTGGCCGGGCCGGACGGTACTGTAGCAAGATGCTGCACTGTAGCTGAGAGCGTAGAGTAGGGTTGTTAGTTACGGCTTGTGTAGGATGACATGACATGACATGACAAACTGAGTGGTTCCATGCACATCAGGCAATCAGGCATCACGCCAGTGTTGTTACGGTACCGTGATTGAGAAACAACCATCTGTGTGAGGTCCCTTCCTGATTTGGTTCGTTGATTTGTTTGAACGATCTTATTCTAATTGTGGTAACATGCTCTTGCAGCACATCTTCTAACAATCACATTTGGGAAGAAATCTAGCTATGGTGACATACATTCTCTCATTATGATGACGTACTACCTATCTATCCAATCCAACTACAGAATCAGTCCGAAAGGTACATACTCCCTTATGATGGGGCAAGGGACAGAAAACACATAAATGACAACTACTGCTCGCCTATCCTGTGTCTGCGATTCCGACGCTCAATCTCCCTGACTGTGCCATTCGCACTCTCCCCCAACCTCTCCCCCAGCCCCAGCCCCTCCCTAGGCCTCTCCCAAAGCCTCCCCCACCCCATCCCCTCCAAGCCTCTCTCCCAGCCTCGCCCCCAGGAACAGGAGCGCAGGCACGACATTGACCCGTGTGACTGGAGGGAGTTGGTTGCGGTTGACAGCGGTGATGGTACACGGGCAGGAGGGAAACAGGGGATGGCAGATGGAAGACGAAAGGAGCAGTTGGGTATGGGAGAGGAGGAGGGAGGGAGGGGGAGAGAGGGCAGGGAAAGCCGTACCTTGAGTGCTGCTGCTATGGATTGCCGGGAGCCTGGCAACGGTGGGTGCGGGGGACAGGGAGAGGAATGGTGGTGAAAGTTGGTGAGGCGTGGTCAGCTAGTGGCACGAGGTGAGGCGAGTGAGGAAAGGCAAGCGGGGCAAGGGGAGTGGAGCAAGGCGAGTGGGGTAATTAGCATCAATGCGGTGGGCACATGCAATGTAACAGCTGATTTGTCCTGCCTCCCATCCCCTGAACCAAACCCACCCCAATTCCCTGACAACGCCTCCCCTCCCCAACCTTCCATTGACCCCTACTCCGCCTCCCCACCCACCCATACCCCTGCCCGCCCCTTGCTCCCTGTGCGAATCACCTCTGTGGTTCTCGTTGTATTGGGCGAGCTGCATGGAGAAGGGAGTGCCATCAGGGATCTCCCCTCTCTTGCCCTCCACGCCCTTCAGCTCCGCCGCCACCTGCAAGGCACGGTGCAGCACGGTACGGCACGGTCGAGCATGGCGCGGCACGGCATGGCACGGCACGGCATGGCACGGCACGGCACGGCATGGCACGGCACGGTACGGTACGGCACGGCGTAGGTGAGAGGAGCAGAACTAGGCAAGGCAGCATGGCAGCATGTGTGTGTGGTTGAGGCTGACCTTGGCGCAGGAGGGGGAGCAATGCCAGTCCACATCGCTGTTGCGCACTGAGGCGTGCACCTTTACTCCCTGCACCTCCTCCGCACAGCTGACGATGCATGGCGTATGGGAATCAAGGGACGGGGGAAGGGGTTGATGGAAACGGGCAATGGATGGATGGGTTGGCATGGCAGTGGTGGGAAGAGAAGGGGATGTGGGCAATGAATTTTGGGATTGATCAGAGGTATGACAGAAACAGTGACGGAGAAACGGTAGGGAAAGAAAGGAAGGAATAAGCGGAAGAGATGAGCAGACAGAGCAGTAAGTAGGGGACATTTGGAGAACATGGGGTTGCATGGGGACTGTACGGAAAAGGAGGGATGTGAGTGAGGGAGATTCACCTCACATGCCATTCTTCGCAACAGCATGAACAGGTGAGGATGCACCTGTGAGGTGGATTCACGAGCACAGCAACGTGCACACACACGCACACGCAAGCACACACAAGGGTGCAAAGAGGGAGGAGGGAGGAAAAGGTGAGCACAGGGGGGACAGAGAGGAATAGTGAATCCTGAGCTGCGTTGAACTGAAAGCAGAGAGGCTACTCACGGAAAACGTTTCTCAGCGAGAAATACAGTGGGGAACAAACGAGAAAGCCCAGGCAGTTGAAACGTGAGAGCGTGTTCCTGCTGATTGAAACGTCAACGCGTGTACCTGGGGCCAAAGCTGCGCGTGTAGTCATGCACGCGGCAGTGCACACAACAGCCCTCCTCGTCATGTATCTCCTGTGACAGGTGCACCGGCTGCTGTGCACTCGAACCGTCGCCCTGCTGCTGCTTCTGCTGAGTGGCAGAGGTGCACGCACGGTCAGTCAGTCAGTCAGTCAGTCAGTCAGTCAGTCAGTCAGTCAGTCAGTCAGTCAGTCCATGAGCAACCCGCGCCGCATACAAGATACAAGGCAGAAAGCGAGCCAATCCCCAGCGAAACGCTTCAAGTTGACGCTACGGAACGAGATTTTGAGACGCACAGCAGTTACTTCAAGCCAGATCAAATCACGTCAGATCGCGTCAAATCGTCTCAGATCGTGTCAGAACGCGTCAGATCGCGTCAAATCGTGCCAGATCGTGTCAGATTGCGTCAGATTTCTCATACCTTGCGGCATCGCGTCTGCTGGCTGAACTTGGCGGTGTTGGCGTTGGTCCACATGAATATGGCGCTCGGACTCACCCACGCCGTCATCTCACACTACCACGCCGCAGAGCAAGTGGAGCGAGACAGTAAAGAGAGAGGGGGAGATAAATGGAAAGAACAAACATTAACAACATCGAACGTCATGTGCTCACGCTAGTACACTGAAAACATGCGCTTAACAGTTCTTCCTGCACTATACGCGTTTCTGCTGGACTAATAAGTGTGTTCCGCGGAATAAGGCATGAATCGCACGGTTGATCCGTGCAGCTCAAAACTAGTTCCTAGGATCGCCATGAAGAAACATCGCACCGCGATTGCTACTTGTCTCCAACGAGCAAAACGTTCACGGCAATTCGGGAAGCACGATTCGCACCATACATCTCCTCCGAGGAGTCGCACGGGCACGTGGTCGTCGTCTCGTCAACGCCGTCGCTCGACCGCAGGCAGATCGTCGCGCGACACAATCTGCGATGGCCAGACGGCGCCCATGCCGCGGTACTTCACCCACACGACTTCGCCCACGCCCAGCATTGCCGTTCCGCTGCGACACGATGAATCTAGGCCTCGATTCCGGTATAAAAAAATCCGTCTCAGTCAGATCTCGATTCGTATCTTGGTTTCGTTGCGCTGATATAACAAGCTGTGATCCTACTCCAAGCCGCCGTAACTCTCGTGGGAGTGACGAAAGTGCATTCTCGAGGGCAATCCAAGCAGGTAAGATATTGAGTCTGTCCTGCTGGAACGGGAGAGGGCGAGCTACTGAGAGTGCAGCAACCTCTTGCCTGATTCCTGAAGCCATAGAAATAAACTACCGCAGCGGCTCGGCTTCCCTTACCCATCTGACACTGGGATTTGCAACAGAGCTTCTGCATAAGCGCCCTCGCAACACTTTTTTTTTTTTTTTTTTTGGTAGGTGAAATATGCACTATACACGTACAATGCAAAAACACCGCGGTCGTAACCGTAGCTAGAGGGCATAGGTATTGTATACCGTACCCTCTCAGATTTCTAAGGAGGCTTATAAACCAGACGCCTAAAGATTTCAACTTGCCCGCCACAAAACCCTATTGTAATATTGTCACACTGCAGCACTAGCCGAAACATCTCGATACATTGTTCCTCATGTTGGTTGTGTCGCTTCAGCTTTGGTGGTTTGGCTCCTCCGAGCCTGGTTCTCAATCGTTGGCGAACACTTCCAACCACCTTGGCGATCTGGTGTATCCGTGGGCCCTGCAGGAAACTTGGAGTACATAGTGCAGCTTTTGTTTCTACTCTGTCCCTCTCTCCACACAGCCCAACTCCTCCATGGCGTCGGGATGTCGAGAAGCGCTCGTCAGAATCTTGTAGTTGGTAAAATTATTCTTGAAACTGATGTGTCGCATTGTGTCCGGCATTGCTTGCCATACCTTCGTCCAGGAGCTTATAATAAGAGTCTTCACCATCTACTGATTGGGTAGAAAAAAGGCCTTCATTCTGAAAACTTCCAGGAAGAAAAACTTCTTCTTCAAATACTTTAGTAGCCATAGCCGAATTCAATCTCGTTTCACAGGTTAGTTGTTGATGCGTCGGTTTCTGTTGTCGTTGAATGGCAGAAAACGCTGATAATCGAAATACGTTTCGCTGGAAAGCTGTCTTAAACTTGTACTTGACGTGTTGCGTTGAACTTGCAGTATAATGTTGCTGCAAACTTGCGTGACGTCTTGCCATATTAATCTTCCTCGGAACAGCTTGAGCAAAACGGTCAATGCCTGGAGCTTTAAGGTAGTTCTTAACCTGAAAAAACGGGATTCTCAGATGACACGACGACCACCAGATGTTCTCTGTGTGAACACGATTTTGGTGTCGACAAGTAGCCTCTGATGAGTAGATCCCGAAACAATGATCAGATTTCGCCCTCGCAACACGATTACTGCAAGATGAGAGAAATTTAGAGTTAGTGATTCAGAAACTCACAGCAACATACCGTTCTCTACCTCGTATTCGCCGTCTGAACCGCACTGACTCATCCGCGAACAAATGCAGGGGGGATGTCACGATTGACTTTCCATCCCAGTGCAATGCATACCCAGTATAATCTTTTGAACCATGTTCAACCAGATTGGACCATCCGTCAGGCATCCGACATCCCTCCATGTTCCCGTCACATCTTCACAATCGCGAAATGACAAATACGTCGCCTTCCACGCAATGCACGAATTTCTTTCGCGAAACACGTCGCAACTCACCTCTAATACCATGCCTGCAGCACGGTTTGGCGAAAACTCAGTTTCTGAATGCCACCGAGGAACGGCTGACAGCACAGGTTACCTGTAAGCTCGCCAATTCGCCAAACCATGACCCCAGCCTCTCCTTCTGGCAGATGATTGATTTTACACCTCCTCCGTCGCTCCTCTCTACGGCTGCTTGTGTCAGACCCAACCCACACAGATCTTCAGTTCCCTCCCACAACTCTTCTGCCAGCCGCCTCCTAAGCACTAGAGCGGCTCAATTTAGCAGCACGCTTCGGGAAACGGATCGCGGCGGTTGGATGAGCGGAAGTTCTATAGGCCACGTCATTAGATAATCGAATTTTGTGTTTCCACCGTGTTTTGTTTCTGGCCGTTGAAACAGCATACATGTCCCACATCAATGACATAGGATAGTGTAGGCGGTCCAATCAGACGTGGGGTTTATTTGGCGGTCCAATCAGACGTGTGGTTCATTTGGCGGTCCAATAAGCGCTGGGGCCATGCTTTTGTCGGCGAATCGTTATGATCCACCATATTCCAGGGTGGCATGTTTGGGACCACCGTCACAGCCAGCAAGGCAGATTTTTAACCGCTGAATGTATTCACCGAATAGCGCGTCGCAACGGTCCGCGATCAGACATTCCAAGCATCTTCAGGCTCACCTCATATTCCGGCGCGTCTTTTCAGAATTCTAGTTAGTTTCCGCAGCCTTCTACGCGTTTTGCCAGTCGAGCTTGGCTTCCGCTGTACCATAGAACGATCACCATCTTCTCGCGTTGACACCATCCGGCCTGGCCTGGATCGTATGTGCGGATCACGGAGCTTCATAACCTCGACCGTGGGATTTTCCTCAACGTAGCGAGTCAACTTCGCATGTCGCCGATTTTGACGTCAGGTACAACAACCATCCGTATTACGTTTTCGCATCAGCTTTCTTCTTCCGTTAATGCACGCGGTCTTCAGTTTGTTTCGACGCCGATTCTGACAATGGTGCTCGTTGTTGTATTATGCGCAGGACACCACGGTCGTCATCGGATTGTCGTGGATCTGCATCTCTTCATGGACCTCGTCGCGACGCCAAGTACGCCGTGGCAGAAGCGACTTCGATCTCCCCGACTTGTGACGGTGAAGGTTGAATGTATCACCTTTCACCACCACTCACCACTGAGCCTTCCCCCTGGTAAAGGTTTGGTAATGGTTTGGTACAGGTTCGGTTAAGGTTCCCAAGGTGTTTGGTTGGTACTGGCTCTGTGGTGGGTCTTTCACGTTTCTTTCACGTCTGCAGTCTTCATTTCCTTTTGCTTTCTTCACTTCCGTTTACTGACTTTATGTTTTTATTATTCGTGCAGGTGCTATTGGAGGCTGCTAGGCGCACTTTCGAAGATTTTAGAGGAGCAACAGCCTTCGGGGCTCTCCATGCTTCAAGGCGTACAACAGAGGAGCAGCTCCACGAGTGAAGGTTGAACGTATCAACCGCACTCTCCACAATTCACTGAGCCACCCCCCTGGTTGAGGTTAGGTACAGGTACAGGTTTGGTAAAGGTCCCCCTTAAGGTTTTTCGGTTGGTATTTGGCTCTTTTTTTTCACGCTTCTTTTCGTTTTGCATTCTTTATTGCTCGAACTTTACTAATTCTTGTTTGTTGTCATACCTGCAGGTTCTATCTGAGGGTCTGCTGCAATGACTTCAGAGGAGCAACATCGTTTTGGCGTCCTTCCATGCTTCGTGGCGTACAACAGAGTAGCAGCTCCAGGGCAGGTGAAGGTTGAACGTATCGACCACCCACTCCACACTCCTCGGAGCCACCCCCCTTGGTTCAGGTCAAGGTGATGGTAAAGGTTGAGGTTTGGTAAAGGTCGAGGTAAAGGTCCCAAGGTTTTTTTATTGGTATTGGCTCTGTAGGCAGTGCACACTTGCA